ATTAGAGCTATATTCTCATATTTTATCTTAAAATTCTATGGTGTAGTTTTCTTTTTATCACCCAAATTTGGGTTTTCGATGCATAATCTATTCAAAATCTGACAATTTTGCTCAACCCGTAGCGTGATAAAAATCACGGTGACCCATGCTTTTTATTATATTTTTGAAAAATGCATGATATAAACTTCATGTGGACAAATTATCAAAGAATTCTATGGATTTAAATTAAGACCCCCCCATCTACCTTAACAAACCTGACAAGAACAAGGCACATTGAAAGCTACTTAAATATCAAATGTACTAAGTCAAGCATCTAGACACACTTTTTTTTTAAAGTAAGCCAGGAAGTATTACAATTTAATTATTTCTATCAAACAGCAGATCATGAGTCGGGGTGGAATTCAGAAAGAATCGCAAAATGAATTACTAATGTAAAAAATAATAACAGTAAAACGGATATATGGATTATATGCTGATTTATTTTGTCAAACTAATATACAAATATATAACCTTTAGAGCGTTTATTGTTCTCTTATTTTCGCTGTACAAAATCGAGCAAGGATGTAATAAGTTAAATATACTTTGACTCACAGTAAAATACAAGAAAGTGCCACATGCCAATGTAAAATCGTTCAAATAATTTGGGATGTTTTTTCATATGATTTTAAGTTTGCTTTTAAATCGACAAAGCAACAGTATTTTCTGATTTTAAGTCTTATAAATCGAATGTCAACAAAAACTCTGAATTCCATAAACTCCAAAAGGATCAAGATCGGATGTGTCAACAGGATGATCGAACACCTCCTGTTATACATGCATACATAAAAACGGATAAACATTGGTTGTTACAGTTTTCTACAAATTGTTGCTGAAAGAATTATTTAGTATTTAATTATGACTGTTTCCAAATTAGATAGTAAAACCAAAATTATCAGTGTTCATCAACTTCAGGTATAAAATCATAATAAATGGTAACTCTATTTTTAGGTGGATCTTAGACCGTGAGGCTCTTAAAATACTCGATTATTTGTATTTACTTCTTTCACTGCAATTAAAAGCCCTTAAAATATTATTGTCAAAAGGTGTTTGAAAAAAGATATTCATTTAGATATGCACGTAAAATGGTGTAAACATCTGTTTCCTGACATAAGATTAATTTATATAGGATAATTTCTGACCCTGATCAACTTGTTGTTGAGATTTTTCATTGGCACCGATTTATTCATAAAGGGATAAAATAATTTACAGATTTAAGCACCAGTTAAGGTGGCAGAAACCAGTTATTTTACAATAAATCTTTAGAATTTCATGGATTTATGATTTTATTTTCTTGACAATTCATTCAAGCTTATATACAAATAAAATGTATGGTTTTCAGTAACTAAGATGTGTGCGTGCTTATGTGAATATATATAGAAAACCTTTAAATTTGGGTGTCTGTCCAGCATGGAGATTTTAAAATTTATAAATGCACTGCAAATAAGGCAAAAAATGTGATGCTCTGATACAAATCTACTCCTCACCTGCAGAATCCTGCTAAAAGCCGAAAAGAATTTTAGGCAAGATTCAAGAGATAAATGATATTCAGTGAATTAGAGCCTTGTCCGAACCTATCCTTACCATCAAAATCTCAAGATATTTTTGTTTACATAAAACTGAATTTTTTCTCCACTTTGATTGGATGCCGTCAAGTGAGGAGACCACAATTTTGACTTCTGATTGAACCCATTTGTGAAGGAAATCCCCAACCTGTGTATGCAACTACTTACTTGTGTAGTACAATACTGTAAATTTAGAAATTATTGCGTGCATTTATTATTGCGATTTTGTCATTTTAGACTAAAATGCGATTTTAATTTTTGCGATATAAATAAAAATACTGTTTAAATCATATAGAAAATTTCATAAAGCGAGTTTAAATTATTGCGATTATAACCCTGTCGCATTTTTAGCAATTATAAAAACACCGCAATAATTTCTGAATTTACAGTAGCCTAGAATTTACATTCATTTATTTTTTCAGTCCACATGATGCAATTATATACCTCAATGTTTAACTATAACCAAATTTCTGCGTTGGACACATGTTCTGGTACACTAAAACTGGTACCTGCCACCTTTAACCACTTATTAAAAAGAATATATTTCCATTTTTTTAGTCTGATTGAGTTCTGTAGTCATTTACCATTAAAAATACATGCAGTGCATATGGTTACGAGCAGGGACGTTAAGGGCGTTTCAAGAAATATCCCATTTTTATACACAGGAAAATTCATATTGAACTCAAAGTTAGTTTTCTTTGCTTAAAGGTTAAAATGCACATCAAAAGCGTAAAGAGGGAAAAGGGTCTATTCTGAATCACATTCCAAACTTTTATTTATAGAAAAATATAAATACACTAGTGTCACGTGACTTCAAACTGAAAGTTAGGACATTTCCTAAAAAAGTCAAAAGGGCAGGTGCAAGATGAAATCCGATCGCCCTGGTTTTTGGCTCCCTGTAATCAGGATAACTTATTTTACTGGAAAATTGATGTGCCTAGTTTTTAATAGAGGTGTTGTAATAAAAAAACAATAAAACGTGGAGAATTTTTTTCGATTTATTGACTTTTTGGCACTTCGGGTTGTGAAATTTCTTTTACACGAACGCTATATAACTAGGCACAGCACTTTTTGAAAAATTTGAAATGTGGCCTTTCTACCAATACCAAAATCAAGTGGGTTGGTATAGCTCTTGCACCTGCCCTTTTCAATTAATTTAGCATGAAGTAGCATTATCGCCTTGAAATGCGAAAGAAAAACGTTTGAATGACCCTGCAGTAGTCGGATCGGCTGACGGAAAAACTCAGTGTATTTTTTGTACTCACCGTGAAGCGTTTCATATAATAACGTCATGTTGGAGCGAATAAACAAATATTCTCTTATTGCTTGCTTAATTTATTGAGGCTTCCTATTCAGTATTGGTTTTTTTCAGGGAATTTTTATTACGACAGGCTGGACTTTCATAAAATAGAATATTTACATCTTCTTGCATTCCGCCTCTTGTGTATATCACCGCAAATGGCTGAAATGGCAGAGGCGGATTCAGGTGGGCTCTGACCCCTTGTGTATCAACCAATTTATGGTTAATGTATACACTTCTTATATGTCCATAACTTCGATTAGTGTTTGGACACGCAGCCCCCCCCCCCCCCCTTTTTTGTCAAAATCCGGAATCCGAATCTGGGGTCATAGTGCAGTTCTCATTTTTGCAAATGCAAGTTCATTATATAATTAATAGAATATTATAAAGTCTCTTCTAGTGCTTGTATATTGAGAACCATTAAAATTTTAATGAAAAAAGTTGCATTTTCATACAGAACTTTATACCAAAATTCATGATTTTTTTGTTTGCTCTTTGTCATTGACAATGTTTAAATCATAAATATTAACTCCTACCTGCATATAAATATTCACATTTTACTAGTTGAATATCTCCTGTATCTCAAGTGTGACTGGTATCAATTTGTAAATCATGATTGGGAGGTCTTTTTGAATTTTATTCAGGAGGGGTAGGGTAATTCTTTTTCCTATGAATGAATATGAATTTTCACCAGTTACCAGGCCAGTATTTTGTATGGCTTGCTTTTTTTTATACCCCATACTTCAAAAAAATGTACCTTGAGCTCTCATGATGTATGCTTACACTATATCATAAAGCGATAACCAGTTCGACAAATATCGGATGCATATATATACACACGACTAATTTTAATCGCATCTGTGAAAAAAAACCCACATCCAATTAGTTTCAGATACATGTACATGTACCTATGATTCAATCAACAACCTTGTCATATATATCATCTTAATTTCTCAACCTTATAGTTTACATTTATACCATGAAGTTGGAAATAGTGACCTATTTTTTTTCTGCTGCTCATGTCATATTAAATCCCTGCCTACCAGTGTTCACCAATACAAACGGACAACCAAGAAATAGCCAAAAGTGCTTATAAGGCATTCAGCACAATCAATCAATTGTTTTTTCATTATCAAGTGCCATAATATTTTAAGGTTCATCTCAAACATGTCAAAATCAGAAAACTTATTTCCCATCACCTGCTGAGATTGGAGGCAACTAAATGGTATTTCTTTTCTGTCAGAATAAAAGAAATTCTATGTACCATATATAATATAAATATACAGAAATGACTAACTCAATCACAATTTATACATATACACAATCCAAAAGTTTCAGGCAGTGTCAGGTGAATGAATCATGACAGCGGACAGGACAAACTAGTCAGCATGGAAATTAAAATGATGTGTAAATGCTTATAAAACTACTGCCTACAAATATCATTGACAAGGATACAATCAGCGGTTAATCTTTACCTGAACCAATCACAAGAGTAAAAAAATGACTTAACTGTAAATCAAAACTTCATTGGCAATTATAACAGATCATTTTTTTTATATCAAATTCTAGCTGTAATACAAAAATATGTGTGCAATTTCAAACTGAGAACAAAGCAATTTCTGTCTGTTTTGGGGATGCTGTCTCATTGCCATACATGTATACCCAACATCTTTTGCTAAACATGCTAGATATAAGAATCTCTAAAACAGTAACTGTGAAAATATTCCATCACAAGTTTCCAAGTTTATATATCCTTCAAAAAGACTCAGAATTTTTTCTGTAAATTTATTCCCAAGATAATTTTAATTATTGAACAATGTAAGGACAATTAAAAATGCGAGATTAATTATTGCAGTTTCAGAAAATCCTGGATACAAATAATACCATCATTTAAATAAATTTATATTATTTTTGCCAAACGTATACAATTGTATAACCAATTTTAATTTAGACAAGAAATGAAAAAAAATTCTGATTTCTAAGTATAGACAAATATATAAGTATAGATAATTTTTTTGTTCAAACATTCTGTGGCTGTTACTGAGGTCTTGCTCAGTATTGAAGGCCAACATCAATATGAGTTTAAGATGAACAACAACTGCAATTAAAACACTTTTTTATGCTTCTGAACTTTTTGTATACCTTTATTCTGTGTTAACTGTTATGAAATGAAATGAAATTGAAATATAAATCATGATAAAATATGATGTTCTTGTTCTCTGGTCATGCTGGTGGACAATATATAATATGACTATTTGTTCTCTGATGAAGAGTTGTTAATTTATTGGCAATCATATGTCATATTCTTAGTTTTATAATTACATGTAACTCCATTAGTGATGCATCAGTGAATTGTATGCCTACATGTTATGATAGTATATCTCATGTATATCAAGGTAGGATTAAAGTTTAAATCAATTACTATCTTTTCCCCGTAATTGCCATAAAAATAACAAAACACTCATATAAGTCTTATAAATGAATATCTCCTTCTTTACAGTTCAACTGAATATCATATGTCTATTTGTAGATCTCTCACTTGGTCAGATACAAATGTATTGCAGATTTTTCAAATATTTCATGAAAGAAACGACAAATTACATCCATGAAATATAATTTTGTTTAAAAAAATCCTTTTTTGAAACTCCAATTGTAAGAAAATTCACAAATCTCCAAACTATCCGTATTTAGAATTCATTTTAACTGAGGTAAAAGCTCTTTAAGATGGTAAACATCAACTTCAGTGATACATGATGATGAAAAAGAAGCTAAATTGTCCAGTTAATTTTCCTCTGTCTCTCAGCATCAAAACACTAAATTCCAATTCATTTGGTCTCGAAACAGTCAATGCTTCTGCTTAGTACATATATGTACATTATATAGATTGCTGTCTTTTTTTTACTTTTCATGGACATATTTGGTGGCTTTCTAAACAAATTTTAATCAGATCTTCCGTAATGGCCATGATGAGTTATAAGGAACTTTCTACTGCAGGTCATCATCCCTGAAATATGAAAATGCAAATATAATATATATTAAATGAAATTTTCAACATGTGAAAAGTAATCAAAAGTTAGCTAGTGCAAACATATTTCTTCAAGAAGTTACTGTTAAAATGCTTACAAAATAATTCCCCTGTCCTTATTTAATAATGTCTTCATTCATCATTTGAACAAGGATTTAATTTTCCACACACATTTTAATAAGATGCACTACATGTACTTTTATAAAACTTTAAAGTTAAATGAAAAACCCAGATGTGCCTATAAGATGTATTATGTAATAAATATTTAAATTTATGTATTTATGTTAATTTACTTTGTTTTGTATCTCCTTTTCCAAATGTAAACTATGACAGGAATACTTCAATATCAATATCAGTAATCCACAGCTAAAAAAATTTTGCTAGCAAGTTCAGTATATTATTGCATTAATATCTGTCATAGTTGTGTAAATAAATTTTATTGCTGGTACAGATACTTCATTAACATTGATTAAATTCAGAAATTATCATGATTATTGGGTACATTTATTTTTGCAATTTTTGAAGAATGGACAAAAATGTGAGATTTATAATTGCGATTTCAGAAAAATCTGCATACTTGTACAGTTATATGTATAGATTTCAGAATGTGAGTTCCTTTTATTGCGATATTCAAAGTTGCCTCATAAAAACATTGCAATAATTTCTGAGTTTACATCACACAATATTCTTACAATGTACATGATGTAAGAACAGAAATTTATTTGCATAAATTATAAAACAGGAAGAAAAGCCAGGCTCGCTAACATGTTTAACCCATCCACATTCTGTATGTACAATGTATGTTCCTGGAATTCAGTGGTTGTCGTTTGTTGCTGTGTTACATATTTCTTTTTCATTCATTTCTTTTTTACATAAATTAGACCATTAATTTTCTCCTTTGAAATGTTTTAAGTTTGTGATTTTGGGGCCTTTTATAGCCAAATATGCAGAATGGGCTTTACTCATTGTAGAAGGCCATTCAAAGACCCATAGTTGTTAATGTCTGTGTCATTTGGACTCTTGGGGAGAGTTGTCTCGTTGTACAATAGTTAGCTGATATCAGGATAAAACAATTTACCTGTCTATAATAATAAAGCTCTCCAAATCAAACCATTACTTTATTTCATCAAAGCTGGAATGGCATACTGTATCTTGTAATTAACAGGGGATCTAAAAAAAATAAGAGAAAGTAATTATTTAATTACATATAGGTACTTTTTTTAAAATAAGGAACATAAACATATGTATAATGATTCATATAATTTTTAAAATAAAGAAATTACGTCTGCCACACAACCCTAATTTGATATCAGGATTTCCTCCATAGATATAATGCCTATTTTTTCTTGGATTTCTAGAATTGCTGCATCCTATGCTAAATAAAGAGCTGTGCTAAAAAAAAGCCAGCCCCCCTCCCCCCAAAAAAAAAATCTAAAACAAACAAGTGAATCTATGAGCTACTAATATAGTAATACCCCCATACCCTTAAAGTAAAAGGTAAACAAAGGTTGTTGAGTGATGAATCTGGAAAAGCATCACACGGTATAGCTGACACATATAAACCCTGAAACCAATTTCAAAAATCCTTGTAATGTTCCTGAGAAAACAGTATACCCACCCCCACTTTTTTACGTTACATTTCAGCAAGTTTCATGGAAATGTGTTTAAGCGTTTTTGAGACATTGTCCGAAAAACGCGATAATTTCGACCCGTTATTATGAATAAAGTCCCATTACTGAAAAACCAGGTATCAAAAATATCTCATAGAAATGGAAAGGAAACTTATGTCAATAAATTTAAACAATTGACCAAAGTTTCATGAAGATTGGTGAAAGCTGTTTTGAGTTATCATCTGAATGATTCATCAGCAAGGCATTGCTCCAAATAAAAATATATTTCTTTCAAATAAGTGTGATAGCTGTTATTTAATTTATGATTATCAATTTTTGTTTAATTTGTGTTCATGGTGTCTGGTTCATTTTAACCGTTACGCTAGTTGGTCCATAACACTTGTACATGTCGTAATTTTTCTCTCTCAGCGGTTGGTGGTAGACTTACTTTCAGAGCAATAAGAATATGAGACCCCCTTAGTCTATGGGTTCCTACAGAGCTGTGACCTTTTCCTTTTATAAATTGATTATGTGATTTGCGTACTTTAGTGATTCCACAAACTGGTCTGTTGTCACAGAATAAACGACTTTATTACAAATGGGGCTTTTTTCTGCCTCTCTGACTAGTGGTCTCCGAAAGAAAATTTTATAAATGGGTCCCTTCTGTTTACCGGCGATATATCTTCGAGTAGTGGATTTAATTCCTGCCAACAGGGATACAGTTCAGATATTTTATGTAGTACTCTATTTTTAGAACGATGATGCATGCAGTGTTTTATTGAATTTGAATACTGTTTTACTTTCATATATATGTAGGACTCTAAAGTGAGATGGGGACGCTAAAACGCGATGGTCACGCTAAAGTGAGATGGTTTGATACGCTAAAGTGCCATAGTCTGTGCTATTTAATGGAACACGCTAAAGTCCGATGCCGCGATACGCTAAAGTGCGTTTGTTCGCGAAAGTATTGATGTTTGCAACGTTAAATCGCATTATGACGCTACAAGCCGTTTGTACAAACAAAAATGGACATGCCAGTAAACGAGAATGTTTGTGCAGATAAAGATTTTTTAATAGACAAGAAACAAATGATCCCAATCCGGAACATTTTTGGCCGGTGCTAGAAGAGTGTGTATGCGGAGGAGTTACTTCCCAAAAAAACATCCACAGTAACAGAATGCAAACCTTTGATCCCGCTGTGTCGGCGGGGACAAACATGATTCTGTCAGTATACTGGACAAAAAATACTTTTCATAAACATAGACTGAAAGCTACTATTTAACTTTCTAATTGAATAATTTTGTAAAAACAATTTTTTTAAAATACGGTTCGTCATGTCTGTAAAAGAGATGGATACTCGTCAACAAGACAGTAACATAACGACCAGAGGTGTAGTATCATAATATGATTGCCAATGCGACAAGTCGCTATCCAATGCTAAATGTCATTAATGTAATTAACTATAGGTTACCGTATGGCTAACCCCGCAGATAGTATTCTATAACGACCAAAGAGTATCAAAACGACCAGTGTATAACAATTCAAACGAGAAAGATAACGGACTGATTTATATACAAAATAAACAATAAACAAAAAACAGATAAGAAGATGTGGTGTAATTGTCAACGAACAAATATCCGCAAAAGACCAAATATCGTTGATGTATGCACCTCATAACGTTATGACCTTCAATGTGGAGCCTTGGTTTACGTCGCATAGAAAGCTTTACAGGATCACGAAATGACTTGTGTAAGACAATTCAAAAGAGAATAACAACGACATGATTTAGAAACAATACAATAAACGAAAAACTAATATGAACACAGCAAAAAACAAAAACCATCGCCTGAATCCCATTCCCGTTACACCATCGCACTTTAGCGTGTTAAACCAACGCACTTTAGCGTGTCATATACCATCGCACTTTAGAGTGTCAAACCATCGCACTTTAGCGTGTCATCTGATCGCACTTATAAAAACAAACAACCATCGCACTTTAGCATCTGACACCATTGCACTTTAGCGTAGATCATCACACTTTAGCGTGACCATCGCACTTTAGAGTCCTACATATATATAAAAAAAATATGTCAAAGTGGGCAGTCTTGATGAGCAAACAACATATTAATTAGTATAATAATATTGTGTCATGAAAAGCTTCTTCAATTTTTTTGCTGCGATTCCTTCCTAATAATGACGGTCATAGGAACATGAGGAAGGCGTCCCAGTTAATCATTAACAAAGCCTTCCAAGAAATTATGATATTATTTTAACTATGTTTTAAAAATTGTTCTATTTAGCAAGCAATTTAAGTACATAAACTTGCAATTGGTTATATTTCTGACTTGGTAATGATTTAAAAAATACTGGTTCACAGATAATAAGATAATTTATTCAAAGTGCACCGTCTAGGATATTTCCAAATAATTACCCAGATACTCAGCCTTTTGGATATTTCCAAATAATAACCCAGATACTCAGCCTTCTGCAGTCATTTTTAATGGACATAAAGATGTAATCATGTTGCTGTCACCTTTTAACTTCCTTAACAGCTTAAGTTGCATCTGATTTCAAAAAATTGTACAATTAAATGAGACTTACCTTAAGTCGAAATTTGATTGTAATTTTGTTGAACCTATTTATGCTGAGAGTTAACATGAGATGCGCACGCAGATCGTAGAGGTCACTTTTCAGAAAATGTAACAGAGCACATAAGCACATGATACACCAAAAGAAACTGGGTGGGAATACGAGTGATAGGGAGGGCATGTTAACTCTCAGCATAAATAGGTTCAACAAAATTAAAATCAAATTTCGACTTAAGGTAAGTCTCATTTAATTGTACAATTTTATTGAACCTATATGCTGAGAGTACCATGAGATTTCAGAGATATGTGATCTGTTACTCATTATTGTAATTTATTACAGCCTCAATTCATGATTTATATTTTCAGGCTTGAAAGAAACAAGATGTTGCATCAACTTTGTATTCTATCAAAGTACAAAAGTAAATTAAATCAAACACATACACATGTTATGTTAAACTTTTAAGTATCTATTCATACTAAATCTTACATATCTGTTATCATTATACATGAGACTCGTCAGAATTTGACAAGATATGACTTCTCAAAACCTTAACAACACTATAATTATCATCATAATTTTGTTTCGATACAGGTTTATTATAGAATTTCCTGAATGTTGATTCATTTGACCAACCTGCCGCTTTTAAAATTGTATCAACTGATGTAGCACACCGTACTGCTGCAGATGTACTGGCTGATCTAGTACTATGTGGTTTATATATAGTTATGTCTACACCAGCCATTTGCAAAACAATTTTAACCCAACGTCCAAGAGTGTCTTTAGACACATGAGAATATGGTTTTATACAGCTCAAAATTAATTTTTGAGTTTTCCGAAAACATGATGTTCTAACTAAATACTCTTTTAGAACAGTAACAATACACAGCCTATTGTCCTCAATAAAAGCTGGCAACTCTATTGGTTGTAAATGCCTCCCTGGCTTCGAACATTTCAATAAACTTCTCACATCTATATATATGTTACTATCTGTAACAGTTATATCATCTAAATCTAAGCTATGAATGGTTTGTAACCTTTGTCCTTTTAACAATAATAGCAGTGTAACTAGCTTATATGATAAAACACGTAAAGATAACATATAAACTGGTGTCAATGTCTTCAAATATTTTAGCACTACTTCAACGTCCAAGGTTCTTTGATATCTGGGTAATGATGGCTTAAGATTGAATATGCCTTTAAGAAATCGCTTCACCAATGGCCATTGACCAACAGTTTTCTCTTGATTTACAGACATAAAGGAAGATAACATACTTCTGGCAGTGTTAATAGCACTGTTACCTAAACCTTTTTTATATAACGAAGTTAAAAATTTTAAAACATTTAACTCAGAGGCCGTAAATGAATTAATTTTCCATTCACTGCAAAATAACAACCATCTTTTGCAATATGTCCAATATTGTTGTCGAGTAGCTGGTTTCCAAGATGCAATTAATGATGATTTCGGAAGACTCTTTTGATAATCCATAATTTTGCAAGATTTCCCCGATATTCTGAAAACTGCTAATCGTAATTTCACTAAATGATGTTCCTTTGTTGGATTCTGTGGATGATAAAGACGATTTTTTCCATTGTTTATTAAAAATGAATGTGCCACAATGCGATGAAGTATTTGTGGAAACCAGTTCTGAGTGTTCCACAATAGTGCAACTAATGTCATGTCCGCTTAATCCTTGTCCACTTTTTGCAGTATCTTCCCAATCAGACTGAAAGGTGAAAACCAATAGCAATTAATGTAACTCCACTTTACAGTAAAAGCATTTACTGCTTCAGCATGTTTATCAGGCAAATATGAAAAATAACGTGGTAATTCATGATTAAATTTTGCTGCAAACAAATCCACATCATGTGGTCCAAATAAACTATCAATAATATTGAAAACATCATCATGCAATTTCCACTCAATATCCACATGTATTGATCTCGACAGTCTATCTGCTTCT